TGAGATCCCATATTACAGCCTGCTCCTATTACACTTACCTGCTTCAGGGACAAATTTCCAATAAGCTTTGACCCCTGGAATTAACAATTTGGCAAACAGTGTATTTTAAAATAATACTTGTGTACAAATATGTCCCTTCATCATTTTTTTTTACTTGTTACCACTTTTAGTAAATCAGTTCTGCCTAGAAAAAAAAATGTAGTCAAGTCCCTTTTCCCATTAATATAAACCTTAATATCAAAGATTAATTACAAAAATTACAAGTACAAGAGTGAATTATTAGTTGTACAAAGCACAAGGCCAATGGAATAAGAGTGAAAATTCAACCAATGGCCCATCAAGGCTTAGTGAAGACCTGAAGCCTTTCTTTCCTTCTGTACTTTTTGTGTATACTAAATGAAATCTGAGCAGCTTTCCTTTGTCACATAAGTGATTTCTGTGAAACAGAGTGTCACTATGCAGTCTCTTCCCAAATCCTTCCCTAATTGGAGAGCAGAAAGAACAATAGACAAGAAAATTCTGTCCAGCTAAAGACCACTCTAATGTTTTATCAATTCCCAATTGGACAGAATGCATGCCTTTGAACTGTGAACATTCTGAGTTTCCAAAAACACATTTTCAGAAAAATCACAAACATGAGTTCATTTTATCATGGTCTCCATTGACCAAATCCAGAATTCTCATCACAGTGACCCATTTAGCATTTTAGATGACCAGTCCATCTTTGAAACTTTGTGCACTGGATTGTATAACACAGCACCCATACCTTCTTTTTTGTTTTTTTAAATTACTTTTCAGCTCTGCATATTTACATCACATCCTGATCTTTCTCTTGAGATCCAGAATCACAACTGAATACTGCATTAACACCTCACCCTCTACATGTCCAAAACTCAGCTTTTGTTTCTCCAAAACTTTTTCTTCCTCATCTCTCCATTTTTTCATTCTCAATTATACAAGCTAGACACCTCAGAGTCATTAGTACTCATCCCACATCCTCGTCCTATATTATGCTATTTGATTTGGCCTCTATCCCATTTCTATTTCTACTTCTGCCTTCTTAATTTATATACTCTCATCTTTTTCAGACTATCAGCTAGTCTCCTAATATCTCTCAATATCTAGCTATTCTCCCCCATAATAATCACTTATTCTAGTAAAATGCCAGAACTATCATTTTAAGATAGGCAATGATTGTGTAGCTTCTTCACCAAAATCCACTAATAGCTAACAAAAATGTGCAGGGAAAAGTTAATATATATGCCTTCTAGAAGATATAGCTAAACAAAATGAAGAAAATAAAATCTTCTTATAATCCCAGCACTGAGGTTATGAATGTAAGCAGTTTAGCTTGTTTATATATTTTGAACCTAAGCAAGCATTATAAGATGTGCATTTTGTATGCTTCATGTTTTCTTTTCTACATCATGAGAATATGTCAATGCTATTAATTATTCTTTAGAATGCATATGGTTTTACTAGTTCTACAATAATATCATATGAATCAGTGTAGAAAATTTTAGATTGATTGCCCATTGATAGCTTATGGTGGCAGACTTCCATATGGCTTAGAGCAGGATCTTTGTTAAGGGTGCTCCACAAACTTAAGAATCGATTTCACTGTTTTAAGTCATTGAAAAAAAAAAAAACCAATATTTGATGACCTGTGAAAATTATATAAAATTTAAGTTCTAGTTTCTGATTGAAGCCTTATCAAAGCATATACATATATATGTATTGTCCACAGCTACTTTTGCAGTACAAAAGTTTAGGTGAATTGTTTTAAGGAAAAAGTGTGATCCTCCCCCCCCACCCCCACCCCAGAGTTTAAGATATTTACCTTCTGGCTCCTTTCCAAAAGTGTGCTGACTCCTTACTCAGCCACCTTGAACTAATGGATTTCCATACCGTGATACCTTGCTTTTATTCTCAGACTCAGAATTTTGCTTGTTTTTGAATTCCGGTAGCACTTTAGCTCACCACCATATCAAATATTTTACTATTTTATACTTCATTTATCCAGGTCTTTCTCTGTCCTTTAGATAAAAGAAACATAAGAACCATGACTTTCAGTCTTTCCATTTTCTGCAATACCCTTCTAAAGCCTAATACCATTGAACACAGCTGATGGTCAACTGCTCTTTCCTGAATGCTGGTTGAAACTGAACTTTGATGTGTTGAGTGAGGGAGGGGTCCTGAATTTAAGAAAATTCATTTTTCTCTACAAAAACTTATTTTGAATTTCAAATGAGAAACTTGATATTGAACTACTGAAACATCACTCCTCAGCAAATTAGGGACAGCATTCCTTATGTACTTTAAGCAGTAATCAAGTTACACAGACTAGAAAGGGAGTTACTTATCTTCAGACTAGAGGGACAGGGAGTGTCTAAGGATATTCATGCTGGTTCCACCCTGTTATCAAGTCTCCATGTGTGCACTTCACTACCCATGCTGATTTGCTTCATTCTTACATTGTGGCCTGAGATCAAGTTGACAGTACATGCATTCGCTCCAGTTTAAGCCAGCCACAGTAGTCAATGTTACACATATGCTGGATACACTACCTACAGAGAGATTCATTCCTGGCAGAGGATGAAGGGAACTCTAGCAGGACATGTTCCTTCAGGAAAAATAAAACACTGAACACAAATAAGAGAAATATTTTCAGTGTTTTAGAATTTAGTTTTTAAAACAATACAAAATCATTTGTATGTTTTTGCGGTGGTAACATTATTAGGAAAAATATCCAAGCACTCTTGAAAGCATAAAGCTATAATAACTGTTAGGCTCTTAGATTATACATCAAAATTATTAGACAGGTAGATGTAAAAAGAGACCGTATACATCAGACCCAGCTACACAGAAATAAAAGACTAATCCTTTGAGTGATGATATTGGTATAAAAAATTTATATTGGAACATATCTTGGGCAATTAATATTTATATAATGAGAATAAAAATAAAACTCAAATCTAAATGATTACCTGGAGAATAACAGCTCATAGTTTTTAAGAAAGATTTTAATAACAGAACATTGTATATTTTTCTGTTGCAAGTCTTCCCGATCTATTGAACATATACTTGTAGAGTTTTTATAGCCCATCTTTTATGAAAATGAATCATTTTATTATAAAAAGAATAAAAGTACTCCACAAGTTACATTTATCCCTTATTGATGGGCATTTAGTACAATGTAGAATGAGTTAAAGATTGAATAAACTTGTCATTTCATAATGAGATATAAACAAGTGATTGTTATGACAAGTTTTATAAATAATTACTGTTTCCTTTTGGAAAATTCCCTGGAGTGAACAAATAGCGAAGTAAGGATTCTTAGTCTATTTTTATATTAGGAATGCAGTCACAAAGATCCTTTCACTCTGTAAATATAGAAACATTTTTAACCTTTCTAGTTCTAAAAAGTTAGAAGGTAAAAAAATTATCATAAAAGGCCATTTTACTATTTTTACTTCTATAGAAATATATTTTAGCAATAATTAAAGGTTAGCTTTGCCACTCTGTACCTTGAAATTTTCAAGTCATTCCTTTAAAATAACTGCCCACAAGCCCAAGTTTACCAATTCTGCATTAAGTTTAAAATATTTTGATGAAGATTCCTTTTTACATGAACCTTTATTTTTCAACCTAGTGTTACCTTAGAGCAAGCTTATTACTGAGGATAGAAAATCCCTGCAGTTCACCTGAAAGGATACATCACATCTTTCTGCCTTGCCCCTGGTGTTGCTGAGGGTTGTATAGATTGAGCAGCATCTACAACTTACACTCTGACAAGGTTTACTGCAGACATTCTTTCTGGAGATGGTTATCCTGTAGTACTGTGTTCATAACTTATCTTGAAAAATAGTCAGTGTCTGATTGCATCCTTATATCAGCATATAATTTGTATATTTTAATAATTCCTTAAAAATAGATTTGTAATTATTCTGTTTTGTGTAACTTTTAGTGTAATTTATAGAACTTATACTATATTACTAATACAATATATAATTACACAATATATGTTTGGTTTTTTATACTTTATATTATTTATATATTGAAATGTTATTGTCTATAAGTATGATTTATATATTTTACAACCAAATACACACTTTCAGCATACAATATCACCAAAATTACAAAGTATTATAGCACTGGAAAGCATGTCGGAAATCATCCAAAACAAGTATTCATTTCACTAATGATGAAACCAGGGTTCAGAGGAACAAAGTAATATACTCAGGGTATTCTAACTTAAACATCCAAATATTAAACTTACTAGTTTGAACCATTTTCCAACAATATGGTTTTTCAGCTCCATTAATTATTACTTTCAATTTTGCTTTAATATGTAGTTTGGGTTTTGTCTTACAAAGTTGTCTTACATTATCAAGACTCCGAAGGTGCCACAGATTGACACAAATATCTAACAAGCAAAAGTTTAGTAAATGTTATTTAAATCAACTTATCACAGCTAAATTCCTGTTCATAAATTAAACCTTTGCTTAGGACACTTAATAAAACTAGTTACTTCTTACTCTAAAGATTTAGTTCTATGTGTGTAGGCATTTGTGCCAATCAAAATTTGTTGACAGTTTCATTTATGTATACATTCTGTTTTGCAGTTTACTACAGGGAAATTGTAGACTACAGTAACAAAAGACCAAATGTTTAATTATTGTTTTATGTAAACAAACAAATTAAAAATTCAAGACATTGAAGTTCAAATACCGGTTTCAGTGAATTCCCATTATTTTCCCTACTGATTTAACTATTTCTCTAGCCAGCACATCTCTCACCTCTAATTCTATTTGCACCATAAGCCCGACCCTCCTCCCATTACAGAAGCTAGTATCAAAAATTGCCCTGATAGAAAGGTTACTATTAGGTGAAAAATATAATTATAACATCTGTTACATTTACATGTACTAATTTAGAATGGAATAAAAAGCCTTTTGTATTTGCCTTATGTTCAATTAATAATTTTCTTTCTTTTTCAGCTTTTTAATTAAATGAAGCCAAGTTGCATAAAGTGAATGTTTACCATGAAGATAAACTGTTCCTGACCATTACACTATTTTGAATTCTTGAGCTCATTTCTTTGTTGACTGTGATAAGCTAGCATATTCTTGTATACTTTTTTTAACTGTGGGTGTTCCTTGTAAATTTAACTTTTAGAAATGGATAGTAACATTCAGTAATCCACAAAGGAAACATTAAAGTGTTTTGCAAGCATATTATATTGAGTGTGTACCAGAGGATTGAAATAAATGGCAATGTAACTACGAATTCATGTTTTAGAACTATTCACTCATTGGTAAAGGCAACCACCATGTTAGTAAAGGAAACCTATGGCATGTATGTTAAAAATTACTAGTATTGTACAGGGATAAAACATATGCATGAAAATATGTCATGTATGGAAAATAATACTTGCTTTTCAGTTGCAGTTATAAAGGACGTGCACTGTTAAAAAGTGTTTTGTTCTTATTAATCATAACTAGATCAAAGTGTATAGGACAAAGCTGGATGAATGGTACACACAGCTTGGATGCCTAGAGATCTAAATCTAAAGTAAGCATGCACTAACCCACCTGCTTCAAAGATATCAAGCAATGGAGGCAACATACAACTCCTACAAATTAGTACCTCTCCATCTTGAGAAGTGTCATCCAGGAAGCCATATTTATAATAGCAAACCTAACCCACCGTGGCCATTTGTTTTTGTGGTCTTGAAAGCAGCTTTCCATCAAAGCATAATTCTCTGAATCCATATGAAAGGTTAGTTTTCCTAAGATGAGTGAATGACTCAATGAAACTTTCTTGAAAACCAAATACAGAAAGATAACTGTTAACTTTTTGTATCCTGCTTTAGTTTATACAGCACATTTGTTCCTCACAACATCCTTCTAAATTGGACAGGAAATGTAAATGTCATCTAAATTATAAGAATAATGTAAGCTGAAAGCTAAAAGAGTTAAACTTTTAACCAGATTTTCAAACTCTAAAACCTGTATTTTATATTCTGTAGTGCAACTCAAAGATGGATTTAAGGAAATAGTTCTTTATTCAAGTTTTTGTGTTTTTCTTCTTTTTTCTTTTTTTTATTGATTATTATGTAATTTCCATTAAGAACTGAATGATAGACCCAGGAGTGTTTTGTCTACTGGGAGTTCTAGCCATATAATCTAAAACAGGAAGCAGGTGTGTATCCATTGAGTTTACTTATTTTGTACCTATGAATTTTAAAAGAAGAGTAGAAAATACAAAAGCTTCCTAGGATGTATTTATCAAACTATCTCAGTAATATATTATTATCTCAGCATGATAATCAATGAAAAATTCATGATAGCTATGTTAACCTTATCATATACTCTCAAATCTATCATTAAAAACACTAATTTTATTAATCTGTTCAGAGATTAATAAATTCAGTTTTGGAATGGCATTTATGAGAAAGCAGTAGATGAGCATAATTATTTGTTTGATGCCAACCCATAGGTAATATTTGGCTTATAATTCTTAAGCCATTTAATATTTTTATAGTCCCAGAAGTTCATTCAGAATTCCTCAAATAGAGTTTGATGTCAAATTTTCTAAATATTAAAATTTATTACTTTTGTTTCCCCTCTTAAGTCTCAAAATTATAATTAGTATACAGTTCATTAAATGATACTGACAAGACACATTTCTCTCTAAAGCTTACTAGTATTTAATCAATGTCAGGTTATTGTCAGACTCTACAACTGAGATAAGACGTGCTTCCTTAACCCAAAGTAGTAAGTTTTCCAGTCTATATTTTGTAATTTCTTTTGAACAATAAAATAGTTCCAAAAATAAAAACCCATGTTTTTTCAGAATTTCAAGTTATTAGGAATATAATTTCTTTATATATAATTGTTGCATTAGGGAAGTGACTCTAGAGGGAAATAAATTGTCTCAACATCAGTCACTACTGAAAAGTGCTATAGGCAGAAACTACAAAGTGGCTCAAATACAGTTTGCTTTTGTAGCATGTGTCAAAATAAATCATACAAAATATGGTATCATTACCTTTGCTAGACAATAGAACTGATTTGTAACTGGTATGTAGCATCCTATAATGTCCCTTTCACCACATTAAAAACTCATTAAAATTGATTATATGTTTAACAATCTCCAGTTAGTAAATAAAAGAAATGCTTTCTGCTTGGAGAGAAAAATCTTGAAATAAAATTCCATCTGAAGGAGTTTCATTGATGAATAGCCTGTTGCATTTTGTTCAGTGTGCTGCTCCTTATTTTAGGTATTCACATGAGTAAGCACAGTAGTGTAGTACTTACCATAATAGTAATATTCCTTGTCAAGAACAATTGAGCAGGCATGGTGATTTGAAGAAATTAGAATTTATGAGAACCTCCCTAAAGGTACATGAAGGGAGCAGTTATTCTAAATAAGGAATGCCATGTCATTATTTTGAGATCAGTGACATTAAGCATTGTGTTTTAAGAAAGACTAGTAATAGGGGAAAACACATTACTATAGCATCTAGGGATAAATCACTGAATAGATTGTTGGAGACTTAATGTTCTTCAGAGTCCACATAAAGCTCATTAAGTTTAAAATATTAAAAGAAAGTACTTTCCATACTGCATCAAGAAACTACTTGGTCAGACTAGAATATATCTAATAATATTTTCCTAATGGTGGGAAAATGGTAAGCATTACTATAGTCATATTTAAGAGATGTAAGTATGTATCCATTAGCTCCAAAATTCCCTGTGTAATTTGTAAAAGGTCTATTATTAAGTCCCTTTATCATGCCTACATTTTGGAAATAAATGCATATATTTATATCATATAGCAATAATCTATAAAGTGTAATAAGAAACCATCTCACATTCATAGTATAGTAGGAAAATCATATCACATTTACTCAAATGTTGGTATACTTGTTCCTGTTAAAAATTATGTGTGTATGTCAGGAAAAATGACAAAGCCAGAAATTTCAGAGACATACTCCTCTATAGAAACACTGGGAAAGTGTTTCTTCTTCCCAGTGTTTCTTCCACTGGGAAGTTTTATCAGAAGTTTTGAAAACAAAGGTTTACAACAACCAAACAAATATTTTAATCATGAAAAGGGCAACTGAAACTCAACTTCAGAGATGATGGCATTTTATCTTACCCCAAGAGCAAAAGATTGCAGTAGGGGAAAAGGACAGGCTCACCCCAGGCTAGGTGTAAAATATCACATCAGAGTCTCTACAATGATACGTTCATTTCCAAGGCAGGATGCATGCTTAGAAAGTACTGAGAAAGATGCTAAGTGTTTACCTCTCTTCACACCTAGCCCAAGCAGGAAGTGAAGGCTAACTCAGTGTTGTAAACCGCTGTATACACAGCCATTCTACAAACATGGAGTACTGTTTCTCTTTTGTTTCCAGGCTTTTTCTTTGAGGTTTGGGGGGGTGGTACTAGAGTTTGAACTGAAGGCCTCGTGTTTGCTAGGCATGTACCCTATAGCAGTTTTTACTTTTAGTTATTTCTTGAATAGAGTCTCACTTTTGCCCAAAGTCAGCCTCAAACCATAGTTCTGCCTATACTTCCCACCTGTGACTCTCATGCAATTGGAATTACAGTGCATGCCACCATGCCCAGCTTTATGGGTTGAGATGGGTTCTCATTACCTTTTTGCCCAGCCTGGCCTCAAACTGCGATCTTCCCAGTCTCTGCCTCCTGAGTAGTTGGAATTACAGGTGTGTACCACCATATCCAGCTGTCGTTTTCAGGCATTATAAGGAAAGCACTATCAAACTACTAACTGACTACTAAGCTAATGAAGCATAAACTTCACAGATACACATAATGAAAAATATGGTTTTTGCAAATTTATTTTATTTCTGTAATGTCTGGGATTGAACCTAGGGCCTTGAGCATGCTAGGGAAGCAAGAGCTTCCACTGAGCTACATCCCCAGCCATTTCCAAAGTTTTAAAATTCACTGAGCAAACTATTACAGTCAGCAAAAAGCAGCAGCAACAAAACTTGGGGAGGGAAGACATACTAATTCCCAGAGTTGCCACATTATAGTATTCAAAACATCAAATTTATAAAACTTGTAAGAGTCATAACAGGTAAGAATGTGTATAGCTCAGTCACAAGAGAAAGTGAACAAAAGTTGAAGAATTATACACATTGAATTATTAACGACTTTAGGTTAATGTCTTTAATATACCTGAGACCTAAGAGAAATCATTAACAAAGAAATAAAGAGGGGGAGAAATGACCCAAGCCTTGTATGCACATATGAATAATAATAAAAAAAAAAATAAAACAATAGTAGTCCTGATTAAAAAAAAAAAGTAAAGAAAGTTAGACTAATGTGCCACCAACTTGGGAATATCAATGAAGAGAATTTTGAGAAGGAGTCAAGTAGAAATGCTGATGTTGAAAATATTGTATTAATAACCAAAATTTATAAATAACCACAATCAAAATAAAATGTAATAGGAAAATTCATGAGAGTGGTTCAACAGCAGAACAGATACAAGAAAATATGAATTTAAAGATAGGAAAGTTGAATGATCCATTCTGAGGAGAAAAAAATGAACAGTAAGAGACCAAATATTATATATATCATATAATACATATATAATGATATACCATATAATGAAAGTTCAAGAAAAAAATTCAAAAAATACCTGAAAACTTCCAAAATCAAAAAAGACATCAATCTAATATCTAAAAAACTGAAGAAATTTCTAGTGGTATAAACTTAAAAAGATCCACATTGAGACACATTTTAATCAAACTATACAATGATGAAAAATGTTGAAAGTGCTGGGTGCTGGTGGCTCACACCTTTAATCCTAGCTATTCAGGAGGTAAGAGATCAGGAGGATTGCTGTTCGAAGCCAGCCTGGGCAAATATTTCATGAAACCTTATCTCAAAAACACCCAACACACAAAAAAAAAAAAAAATGGGGGGGAGACTGGTGGAGTGGCTCAAGGTATAGGCCCTGAGTTCAAACTCCAGTACCACCAAAAAAAAAAAATTGAAAGCAGGAAGACAAGTAATTCACCACTTACAAATCCTCCATAAGATTCACAGCCAACTGCTCATTGGAGACTGGAGAAAGACATTGTGAAATACTTTAAGAAATCATCAAAAAGAATTCTGTATCTGGCAAAGTTATCCTTCAAAAATGAAGGATAAATGAATACCTTCCAAGAAAAATGTTAAAGGACTCTATTGTCCATACAGAAGTCCTTCAAGATGAAATAAAAGAACACTAGACAGTGACTAAAAGCCCTACAAAGAAATGAACATTTGTAAAGTAATACATTAACTAAATATAA